TTTATTATATATATTTATGTTTTATATGTTTTATATGTTTTAGTACAAATTCATCTGTATTTCAGTACTTTGCTTCTTCACTTATACAATATGAGTCCTTTATACTCAAATAGATAATATGTGCTCCGCGTCTCTGTTGCAATTCATATGTTTCATGAGTGAGATGGTTTACACAGCGTGCGGTTTCAGCCTTTTCGTTCATTCAAAGTAGTGGTCACGTTCATTATGGCTGAGTTCAATTCTGTCCTGACTCAGCTGCTAAAATACACGCGAGCAAGCGAAGGCATACTTTGGTATTGGCGTTAGGCGCCCCTTGGGTACGGTTTAGTTAAATTGCCATGGATTTTTTGAGTTTTTGTAGATTTCGGCTTCCATAGTCTCAAATGTGAATTGGTACCGACAACTCCTTAAGTCATACTTTGTGTATGATGCTATCGAATTGGCCTACATGAAATATGCTTTGTGAAATATCGGTCGCAATAGTACTTTGTCGTGTGGTATATTTTTGCTATACTGCCAAATCACACAACACGAGGCTTTTTAGTACGGTTGTTGGATATCATTGTGCGGAGTATTATGTAGTCTGACAGCGTTGTACTGCCATGCATTTACTGCATCTACAACTTCTCACATAGACATATTCACTTGTCGAATTGACCCTTGTCCCCTCATCCTCATCTCAATCTGCGAAATCTCTTCTACAAAGCAATCTCGTTTGCGTTGGCGAGACATTCGAGAAGTATACAGGTTACTTCAGTGAGTACGATCGTACCCCGCGGTACAGAAGAGGCAAGATTCTCACAGAGGCTGACAGGAGAGGAATCTTAGCTGACATCGAGGAAATTCGCCAGGAGTTATTTCCCACTGGTGAGTCGCTAGGTTTGTATAGAGTTTACAATTGGCACCCTCATGAACGAAGCGTGTTTCTCTTTTGATATGCACTTAATTGACATTATCGATTGAAAGCTCAAACTTGTCTTGGACACATTAACTCCTTCGAAAAGCGCAATTAGACGTACGCTCACTACCATAAGCGAGGCAGTGCCTTCTAATAAAGTGACACTATACACTATTTGCTACTCGCTTTAGATCGCTGATACGGTATTGAATTTGAACTTTTAGGTAACGCTTATGGAGATGTCGCATGCCGCACTTGGGAATCGCCGAAAGGTTCATACTGCGAAGGTAGCCAATCAGGAGAAGCTAAAATTTCACTGTCGAAGCAAGTTTCGCTTCTCAAGGCTGAAGAGGAGAAAAATGACGAAGCCGTCAGGAGACACTCTGCGGAGGTAGAAAGCAGCAAGTGGGCACAAAGGTTCATCACGAAACTCAAGTACAACTACCAGCCAGATCGGAACAAACGCAGATCTAGTTTATTCGCACCCACTACAACGTTGAACGACAACACAATGCATTACGTAGAGGCGACACTTTACCACGCCAATGCTGACCCAACTTCACCTGATGCAATCCATTTGCACACCTCATTGGTAAGATTGAATCTCGTAATAGTGCATGTTTCTAAATATGTTTTCGACTTGTCAATGATTTTTGATGGCGAGACTGATTACAGCACCTTCTGATGAATACTGGCTCGAGAGTATGCATACAATTTGTGATAGGCTGTTTGGCGATGCGGGATGTTTAATAGTATGTTAGAGCGAAATTACTTCAAGCTGAGAATGGTGCTATCCTAGTTATGGTTGAGTGTGGAGGGGGTTTCATAGCTGATTGTTTAACGCTTCAACACTGATTGGTGGCTTTTGCACTATTCCTGCTGAATGACACTCATATTGAGTTCTGTGGGAACATGCAGGCATATACGTATACATACAATTGGTGTTCTAGATTAAGAACTTGATTACAATCGAACATTTGTGATTGATGCAAGTAGTCTGAAAGCGAACAGCGTGATATCACTTAAGAACTATATGATTGCAAAAACAGATGATGACGTTTGGATGGGTTAAGTATTTGGCAAAAAAAAGGGGTCCAAAACTCATATGAGTGTTCTAAGAGTTTCTGTAGACATGCTAGGGATTTTCGCACACGATGAATATTTATGCGACGTTATATCAGGTCCTAACAATGTATCTATATCCTGCGCCTGCCGCTATTTAAATACACTTGCGTTGAGGATACGAATAGTGTACCATCGCATGCGCCATGTGGAGGAGTGTATCTCAGTAGCTATTTTCATGGTGTAGTACGTTAAAGTCCATTCCACTATGTGAGTGCTGATTATTATAACAGCAGTATTATAGCTTCAAATGTTCCGACCAGGGCTAAAAATGCCTTTAGTTTCAGATGGTGTTGATTTGAAAGAATAAGAAGATCCATTTTACCATTTAAAACACGCGCAGAATTCCACCACGAGTGATATCAATGATGCTTTCAGTGGTCTAGATTTAGTCGAGGACGACAAAGTGCGGTCGAACCTGAGACGCTTGGAGAGCGAGACAATGCCAAATCGGCGCACAAGCGAGAGCTCGGCCGACTCAGCTACTACAAGGACTAATCGGGTACTGATAGGTATCACTGAGGCCGAAACACAAGAGTACTCAGGAGTCCTAAGACGAGATAGTATCACAAAACAGGTGAACTTACCAGAAGATTTAGTGACAGAGGAGAAGACGATCCCTGATAATTAGTATATAGACAAAACTATAATTAATTCAATATAAATAAATACTGACTACCCTACAACCCGGTGGAAGTCGTTGTGACATTCCGTTCTTGAACGTGCGAAATCAAACTAGGACGTATTGTCTGCTCCTCATGCCAAGACACCAATACATCGACAGGCCATTGGTATGGAGCTGAAATTTGCTATGTGATACATTGCAACCGCTGGCTGCTACCATATTAAAGATCATTCGGTACACTTCTTGGCGCTCGTGACTTTATGCAGTATTTAGGGCAGACAGAAGAGTAACTTTATTTTCGTTCATCAACCGTGTAAGGTATATATACACGCCACAAGGGGTTCTTAATCGGACAAACATTCACCAGAGACTTCGTTTACATAGGCTCACGACTACGCGTTTGGTGTCAGGTATCCCATAATTGAATATCACGGGATGCTGAATTTGTTGTTGTCGGAAGTCCCATGGTGTTTGTGTTTCAAACTTACAATTGAACAGTGCAGTATCGATTGGTATTTTGCCAAGTAGGAAAATAAATGAATGGCCATCTAATTGGGCACTGACGACGTGTTCAATTAGACATCATTTTAAAACGGCAGCCTCTAGAGAAGATCTTTAAATAACTTCTGTCTGCATATCGAACTCCACCGTGCAGCGTACCATCTATATACTTCACTGCTTATTTTTTGACGTGAGTAGGCATTTCTATTCCGACCAGCCTAAACAACTTGTTATTGTGACTTGAACTGTTTGGTGGCCGTATTACTCATCTGGCTACATGCACTTTTCCCAATGTGTTGGATTGTATACATTTTAACACCGAATTGAATTTCAGATGACAATCTGTGAATGCGCGAGTATATATGGAGTTCGCTGCTATTATTAAGTACCGAGAGCAGGCACCGCTACGCAGGTATTGCGCGATGGACATATGATTGTGGTAGTGGTAGTACTTCTGTGTACTAGTCTCGATCTGTTCAGATTGTATTTGTTGGTCTCATTTCCGAGCGCCGCCACGCCCCTTAGCTAATTTTATTGATTTTAAAAAGGTCGAGGGATTCGATCTGAATGTGCTTCACATTTCTGATAACAAAACAATGAAGAGATGTGAGATCTCATCTTCTTATATCTACATGCGCATGATGCAAAAACCTGTGATTGTACTTTTATTGATATTTTCCACATACACTGTCCCTGTCAACCCAATTGCACACTTACAGGTATTGCTAGAGACCCCGTTGACTCACGAATGGCAAACTAAGTGCTACAGCTTGTTGTAATCCTAATTTGTCATATATACGAAAATCAAAAACATAATGAGGGCCATTTCTGTGTCTATGGAGTGTTTCGGGTTGATCCCGGTTTTGAGCCTTTCCGGTTTACTGATGCAGATTCACTATTCGTACAAGATATATAAATGAGCAAACGCGTTAGGAACATGTACATCAACTGACAGAAAAGGGGAATCCATCATACATGGTAACTAATGTAATGGAAGTGCATCTGTAGCGCACACAATTCGCTCATGAGAATGACTACAAACGAGAAGACATACAAGCATACCGAGACGAGCATGTGGAATGTGTGTCCAGGCAAGTGCGCATAAAGAAGTATGCACAAATGACAAGTACACTTGTAGGGACGTATGAGAGCCGAGGGGTGCGTGACTGAGGCGTGTGTGAGAGTGAAGCAAGTGTCACAGTGAGCGATGATACCAACAATCACGCAGTGAAACCAAGACTATGTACATGTAGAGTCTGCGAGCGAGTGCAAAAGGGCCACCACCGTACAGCCTCTTCAAAAAAATTGCACACGCGCAATAAATTGCTTAATCAGATGTGCATTCAAGGACTGCCGTTTTAGTCTGACCCTTGTGTCAGCGCGCTGACATTCTTGTAAAACAACGCTTCACACTCCACAGTGCAGATGACATCATCAACAAATCGTTCATGTGCTTCACACAGCTAGTACACGTCCATAACAACTCTTGAGTGACTACATATACCTGATTGGATACGCGCACTTTACTAACACCTTCCGTCTGACTGATTATATACGCAAACCAATCTTGATTCAAGTGAGTGCGTGGTTGAGCATAGGTGTGCAGTAAGTATATGACCGTCGATAAGGTACCCGTATTTATAGGGACACAATATGCGTTGCAATAGTCTCGAGAAAGCGACACCTCACGGTCATGCTCGCGCGGACATTCGTATTGAAGTATGCACCTTTCAGGAGGGCGTATGTTAAAATTCCAAAAAGCCAATGCGTGAGTACCACTATAAATATACTTGTAGGGTATACACAGGCATAGTCTATGCCAGAACGTGCATAAGTTCAACTGCGTATATATGTCAACATTTGAAAGTTTGTACTGATATGAACAACCATACGAGCACATTGAAGTAAAAGGCACGATAACCAAGCTGCGATGCCTTTTGTATTCTAGTTTTGAAGGCATACGTGTTTCCCCGTGCGTAACGAGAAATATTCGCGAGTGACTCTCCAGTTGCGCGAAACTACAACTTCGAAAGCTTCCACACAGATACGTGTATTCGGTAGGAACAAAGTGAGGGCCGTGGGGAGATGGGGTGTGCAAAACATGAATACCAATCGTAAGCGTGGCAGAGTGCATCCCAGTGATTCATTGAATACACACAGCACAGTAGTCGGTATTCGCAACCCTTTATTCGCAACGGGAGTTCACGTGAGGAAAATCCAGAGCCTATATCGGGTTCTAGGAACGAATGGATATACACAGCCCCTATATACATGCCTACGCGTCAAGTACCTTGGGTGCCATCGGAGTACCATTGTGAGAAAATCAACAACACTCGACTTCAGCACATATAGGATTGGCAACGTATACACGACGCCATAAATGTCCACACAAACTAAGTTTGCAATCACGACAGATGGTTTCGTACTTAATTTGCTCATTTCGATCGTACAAACCGCGGGAAAAGATGAGCATCTATACAGGCGCAATCAGCAGCGGATAGAAAGGATTTAAAGAACAGCGATCATCAGCTCTTCAATTAACAGCAAGAAAGCAAGCCATCGTATTACGACAGAAAAGTTGCACGAACAATTATAGCAAACGCTCATCTGTGAAAATCATCCCAAAAAACTTTCATCTGTAAAATAGATCCTCGGGAGCTCTCATCTGTGAAAATACAGTATACGACAATAATCGTCCTGCACATCTGTCGGAATACAAAAAAATCAATGCTAATGTATATGACTAGCCGTTTCTATTGCGAAACCCACAGAAATGATTTTGAGAGAGCGGTGAAAAATATTGAAGGCTTCATATCTCTACTAGGATATAAGCATAGAATATAGAAGTTACCACTTGGAGTGGACATAGATGAAACAAGAGTGCGAAAGTGTACACATGCGTTAATACGCCACATCTGTACACTTTCGCCTCCAAATTCACTCACAACTACCTGTAACCGGGTCCCTATCGGAATACTCTGCGCGAATGCCGACACAAACTCATGTTCCGTGAGAGTGTCCGTATCACGCTCCGACATAGTGCAGAGCTGTTCAAAGAGGTAGTGCGGCAGTAAGTCACTTATCTCCACCAGCTCAAACAGATCCATCAGGATAGCCTCGGGTTCGATGCCGTGGTTGAAGCCTTTCCGATCTAAAAATGCATCGTTTTGTTGATTGATCTGCCTGAAAGTTGCGGGAGCGCGAGGTGCATACGTGAAGTTAACAAAAAGGAGATGTCACTGTTGGGCATGCAGCAAGCAGATGTTTGGCAAACCTAGACAGTCTGATCCTCAGGGCCCATCAAACATGTATTGTTATCAGTTGGCTATGCATATATACAATGATGGCGAGCTACCCAATATCTTGAGCTTGATTAATTTATTGGCCATCGACACAATCGGAATATGCACTATGAGGTTGGCATACTTCAAGGCTGACTCATCATCGCATACCTGAACAAAAGAGTCAGCGTATTTCTCAGTTTGAGCCTGTCTGGAGCCTGTAACCCGCCCCCTTGCACGGCCACCTCCACAGCAGTGCAAGGTATATTGCCAAGTATATCGAACCAATCCTGTCCAGGGTTATCCACACCAAAGTTGAAGCACAGGAAGGCAAACCGCTTGTTTGAGGAGCAGGGCTGAGTGGCGTGCGTGAATTTAGCTCCGAAGTTGATCATCTCTCCCAGAAGGTATGTGTACACACGCGGCACACCTACAGGAAACCATTGTCAGTGGGAGTGGGCGAATTTGGAGCTGGTAAGTGCAATTTGCCTTTCAACTGATATTCCTGACACCATGTCACGGTTGTCGGTACAGCCCACGTGTATCATAAGCAGCAAGTGTCAATCATTTTGTCTTGTGTAATTTGCATACTCACACCTCTACACTTGATGTGCGAGATGCAGTGTGTATAAGGAGGCTACAAACTCACTCGCACATGTATCCCCCTTGGATGGAGCATAGAAGAAGAATTCATTCAATAGCCAAGCATGCGAGTGATAGAACAAATCATCAATCACATCACCAAAACATCATATTGTCATAGGATCGCTGGATGGAACTATCCCACCGTGCAAAACACCACCCAAGAGATGGCTATTTATTAACACACCACGACAACGTCGCATGAATTTGCTGCATACTCAAAATAAGCGGCAAAGCACAGCTATACTATAGGCTGACAAGAAGCTCGTAGAACATTCAATGCGATGTCAACAAGAGCACCGCGCGCACCAAACCATTGCCAAATTACATCCTACCACACACCCCGCATGGGCCATGACATGCACATCCATTGAACAGTAACAGCCACAAACAGCGATAGCACATTGACCAACCAGACGGGCGACACATGTCTTGCAGAGCATTGTATTGATTAAATATATGAACGGACACCCACCTTGCGCGTCGTAGTACAGCAGATGTCCGTCTTGTATATCGTCCATGGCATATAACGGTGTCATGAGTGTGTATGCGCGTTTTCCACACGCGTCTCGGAAGTCTTCGTGGAAGAAGGGTATCTGCAAGCCTTCTGATTGGCGCACAACGAAACTGGCTGCATATAGCTGTATCTTATGTTTTACCGTGATCTCGAGCCCTTTCGGCACGTTTAATCGATTCTCGAACAGGTCCCGCACTTTACACCGCTCGAATAGGTCCTCAAACACCAGAAAGGTGGGTGTGTCACCTGGTGCGAGAGAAAAGCAAAATTAGGCCTTGAGATACTCTGGGTACGTGCTTCCGAGAAGCTGTGTGTAAGTGTGTGAGAGCAAAAAATGGAGTGAGAGAATATGTGAGAGAACTATAATGGCATTTTTGCGAAAGGGTGCGTTGGTTCCGAACCTAATCCAGGGCATGCATTCACAAGGTGCACGCTAGGTAGATATACAGGTAGATAGCCTCTAATCAGGCAGAATGTCTCGAGTCTTGTATTGTGAGAAGTCACGTGCAGTAACACGAACAGTAAACCGAAGGAAGTGCTATATCACGCTTGTAAATAAAAAAGCTGCGCTATAATACTTATGAAGCACAGATTAATCATAAATTTCATGGCAAGCCCATACAGAACATACCAGCATAGATCCATTTAATTGAGTACCCCCATCGCTGGACTGATGGTGCTGTTGTGTAGTAGGTCTTCCCGTGACCAGATGAGAAGTACGACCCAGATTCCTGATCCAGATGAGGAAGCACCTGATGTTCGATACAAACAACAAAGGAAATATTTCATTATCGCCCTCAAAACTTATTATCTTCAATCATCCACCTGACATACGAGGTTCGAACAAAGAATCCATCAGATGCAGATGCAGATACAGATACAGATACAGATACAGATACAGACACAAATACAGATACAGATACAGATACAGACACAAATACAGACACAAATACAGATACAGATACAGACAAAAATACAACACACAAATACACACACACACACAATACACACACACTATATATATTATATATATATATATATATATATATATGTATATATGTATATATATATATATATATATATATATATATATATATATATATTCATATATATATGCATACATACATACACACACACACACACATATATATATATATATATATATATGTATATTATATATATATATATATACATATATATTAATAAAAATATATATATTCCTGTATATATATATATATATATATATAATCTACATATACATGTGATTATGCATGTACATATGATACGCACACACACACACTCTCTCTCTCTCTCTTTCACACAAACATATATATAC